CCCCAAAACCCCAAAACCCCAAAACCCCAAATCCTCATATTCTTAATGAATCTAAAATTAATAAATTAATATGGAGCCTAGTCAGGATATTAGCAAGAGGAAACTTGTGAAAGAGAAGGCAATCTACGATGAAGAAGTCAGTTCCATGGATATCTTACACAGAAATCTTATGGGTTATCACCACAAGTTTGCACCCTGAAAAATGAAAGAGGAAGGAACTCTGCTTACTTTCTTACTAGAACCTGGAGTACTTTTTGTTAATAACTTTTTAGGTAATAGAAATTCCGTACATGAAGAGGTATCAGAAGACTAGTTCTGCAGTTAAGTTAGTATCCTGATTAAACATCTGGGGGAAATAAAGGATATCGTTCAGAGAAAATACTCAATTTCTTGAAGAGTCTTAATCCCAAGGAAATCAAAGAATTCATTATGTATTATATTAATGATGTTGCAAGGCCTATACCTCGGAAGATATTCTGTCAGTATGCCAGACTTTTCCCCTTTGTGACAGAGAGCATTTCTTTGGCTAAACTGAAAATTTCTGAGAAACAATTGAATTGAATATTCAGATATTGACAGGTATGGAGAGATATATTCCAGATTTAATGATAAAAAGGGAAGTTGGTCGTTAGTCTCTCTTTCAAATGAATTTAGGCTTATATAAAATTTGAATAACTTTCTCAATGAATTATAGCCTAGCCAGAAATTGCATTTTGATCAATGTAGAATAGAAGCTCAACATTTTAAAGAGAAAATAAAAGTAAAGACACTAGAAATAAGGAAATTGTATGGTAAGCTTAGAACCAAGTTTTAGATATGTCAATGATAGTTTGTAAATTTTTTGAGCATCTTGCTAACTGAGAAGAAGTTGAAAAGCTTATTCTAGAATCTAATATAAAAAAGAAAAACATGGAAAAGTTGGTTGAGAAGTATCAAGTGACTTGGATATCCATCCTAAATTGTTTTGACTCTCCAGGATCGTTTTACCGAATCTACCCAACTTCTGGATAACCTTCATTTGAAAAAGATTTATTCAATCTCACCTTATAATAATGGGGTTTTGGGGTTTTGGGGTTTTGGGGTTTTGGGG